TTTACAGATGTTGCTAGCGTTCCCATATCTAATATTTAAATCCAGGTCTGCCATATGAAAAATAGAGAATATGTTATTGTCTGGAGTTCTATAAGCACAGCTATAGCATTTTGCTGTTATTGTCAAGTGATTTCTATAATTTAGCTCATAGAGGAATAAAAAATTTGATACTATATGAAATAGCATGAGTGTTATATATCTTAAACTTATATATTCGGGGTATGCAGCTATATGTTTTGTTGTTAAGTAATATGTAAATATTATCAAGCGTCAAAACGCTGAGGAGTAGCATGCAGTAAGAGCTATGTATTTACAATTAAACTAATATTTAAATCCCGCGGTCTGCCATATGGGATCTATATACGAGAGAATATGTTGCTGTCTAGAGTTATATAAACACATGATATATAATTGTCAAGCGATTTCTATATTTTAGTGCTAGGTTTTTAAAGTACTGAACTCGGATAAGGTTAATAAATTTAAGCTATATTAAAGCACACCAGTTGCTATGTGTTGTTAGGGTGAAACTAATTAAAGGATTAATTTTTATCAGAGATTTGCATTTTCTACTGTGTGGATAAATACGGATTTAGGATATTCATTGCGCGGGCGTCGCGGGTTATCCGTGCGGCTTGGAAACACAACAATAAGGAGGCTTATATTGGAAGAGAGAAAGCAATTTAGACAAGACAGGAGCGCTTTGCAGCCAAAAGTTTACACAAGAATTCAGTCTTAAAATACATTTATTTCTTCGAAACGTTTACAAAGTTAATGTGGTCTACTTCTTAGAGCATAATGTGTTTGATTTTATTTAAATTACGCACAACAATTTAAATGTTTTTTGTAATAAGAGCCGTTTGGCTTAATTGTTCATTCGCTATGGTTTCTTTAACAAAGGTTCGGACGGTTGGCTCGTCTTCGTGCAGATTCACCCACTTCATACGACCCGTAGATTGGTTCACTATTTTAACAGGCCAATAATTTTCTCCGCCGATGTAGACACCCGGATGGCTAGGATCAAAACTATTGCGCGATGACTTATACATCTCGGTGATAGCATATCCTTCTGGAATGTTACGGACCACCGGCGCTCCCAAACTGTAGTTTTGCCACTCGGGAATAGTTGCATCCGACCAGGTAATATACCTCTGATGTTTATGTTGTTTTCTTTCAGGCTTATGACTCGGTGTGGGCTCGACATTAGTATTGTTCTCTTTAGTTTGGGTGGCGAAGAGATAAACATGACAGTCGTCAAATACGTCCCCAAGAACTTGCTTATCGGCTGGTGTGTCAGGTTTGTTATCCACGACCAAATATCCAAACGGTTTTTCGGTCTCTTTGTAATAAGCATTCATAAAGTGGACTCTGTTCTTATCAAACATGCGTTCTCCAACGATACCAATTTGTTTCCTATCACTAGGACTTCGGAAGAGAGCGAGATATTGGGCATTTCGGCTAATATCTGTATTAAATTTGCCTTTGGGAAACATGTTCTGGAGCAAAAGGATAACACTCGCGTTTCTATGACGACCCTGGGTAAATAATCGAGATACCACAGGACTGTCTGTCGCTTCAGCCATCAGATCGTCCAGTATGATGATGTTGTTGTACCGCGTATGAATCTCGCTCATGTTCTCGGACAGCTCAGGCAAACCTCTCTCAAACTGGATGCTTTTTCCGAGGGATTTTCTCAAACTGTCGTAACAATCTTGCCACTGGTTGTAGTACCAAAAAATACGAATACGTTTTTGCTCATCGTACACGATACGATTCTTTTCCAAAATTTGTTGTACAAAATATGTTTTTCCACTTTGGCTCGGACCCACGACCAATAGCGAAAATTTATGGCGGAAGTTGAATTCCGGATAGGGTTTGGTGGTCATAGATGCTTGTGCTGTTTTCGGTTTCTTAGTTGGCAACGAGTATGCCCTTCTGCTCACACGCTTTTCTCCCTGCTTTTCAGAGTTCATGTACGGAGATTTGTCGATGTAGGGCTGCCATGACGACACCTTGGCTTGCTTAAGATAAGGTTTTCTCTCCTTCGATTGTAAACCGTGAACTTGTAAAAGATGTGTACTGATATTCTTCAAATCAGGCCGACCGCAAAGCGGACAGGTCCGGCGAAATCGTCTCTGCATGACTGCTCCGGCAAATTATTCAAGTTTGCATAGAAACACGGTTCTATGTATTGTTGCTTTCAGGAAGAGCTTCTGTGAAGCTTCTGTGAAGCTTCTGTAAAGCTTCTGTAAAGCTTCTGTGAAGCTTCTGTGAAGCTTCTGTAAAGCTTCTGTAAAGCTTCTGTGAAGCTTCTGTAAAGCTTCTGTGAAGCTTCTGTGAAGCTTCTGTGCTTCTGTGAAATGAGCGAGATTCATACGCGGTACAACAACATCATCATACTGGACGATCTGATGGCTGAAGCGACAGACAGTCCTGTGGTATCTCGATTATTTACCCAGGGTCGTCATAGAAACGCGAGTGTTATCCTTTTGCTCCAGAACATGTTTCCCAAAGGCAAATTGAATACAGATATTAGCCGAAATGCCCAATATCTCGCTCTCTTCCGAAGTCCTAGTGATAGGAAACAAATTGGTATCGTTGGAGAACGCATGTTTGATAAGAACAGAGTCCACTTTATGAATGCTTATTACAAAGAGACCGAAAAACCGTTTGGATATTTGGTCGTGGATAACAAACCTGACACACCAGCCGATAAGCAAGTTCTTGGGGACGTATTTGATGACTGTCATGTTTATCTCTTCGCCACCCAAACTAAAGAGGACAATACTAATGTCGAGCCCACACCGAGTCATAAGCCTGAAAGAAAACAACATAAACATCAGAGGTATATTACCTGGTCGGATGCAACTATTCCCGAGTGGCAAAACTACAGTTTGGGAGCGCCGGTGGTCCGTAACATTCCAGAAGGATATGCTATCACCGAGATGTATAAGTCATCGCGCAATAGTTTTGATCCTAGCCATCCGGGTGTCTACATCGGCGGAGAAAATTATTGGCCTGTTAAAATAGTGAACCAATCGGGTCGTATGAAGTGGGTGAATCTGCACGAAGACGAGCCAACGGTCCGAACCTTTGTTAAAGAAACCATGGCGAATGAACAATTAAGCCAAACGGCTCTTATTACAAAAAACATTTAAATTGTTGTGCGTAATTTAAATAAAATCAAACACATTATGCTCTAAGAAGTAGACCACATTAACTTTGTAAACGTCTCGAAGAAATAAATGTATTTTAAGACTGAATTCTTGTGTAAACTTTTGGCTGCAAAGCGCTCCTGTCTTGTCTAAATTGCTTTCTCTCTTCCAATATAAGCCTCCTTATTGTTGTGTTTCCAAGCCGCACGGATAACCCGCGACGCCCGCGCAATGAATATCCTAATCTATCCGTATTTATCCACACAGTAGAAAATGCAAATCTCTGATAAAAATTAATCCTTTAATTAGTTTCACCCTAACAACACATAGCAACTGGTGTGCTTTAATATAGCTTAAATTTATTAACCTTATCCGAGTTCAGTACTTTAAAAACCTAGCACTAGAATATAGAAATCGCTTGACAATTATATATCATGTGTTTATATAACTCTAGACAGCAACATATTCTCTCGTATATAGATCCCATATGGCAGACCGCGGGATTTAAATATTAGTTTAATTGTAAATACATAGCTCTTACTGCATGCTACTCCTCAGCGTTTTGACGCTTGATAATATTTACATATTACTTAACAACAAAACATATAGCTGTATACCCCGAATATATAAGTTTAAGATATATAACACTCATGCTATTTCATATAGTATCAAATCTTTTATTCCTCTATGAGCTAAATTATAGAAATCACTTGACAATAACAGCAAAATGCTATAGCTGTGCTTATAGAACTCCAGACAATAACATATTCTCTATTTTTCATATGGCAGACCTGGATTTAAATATTAGATATGGGAACGCTAGCAACATCTGTAAATGTAAAAAACACTCCTCAAACCTCAAATCATAGTAAATCGACATACCTCTATTTCAGAAACTAGTTGTGATGCTAATTGATCGTCTGCCACATTTGGCCCAGGCCTGTCCGCGTTAATTGGTCGCGCTACCTGTCACAGTTGGCCCAGGTTAGGGTTAGGGCCAGCAAAGTTGCGTCACATATCTTGCATACTAATTACTTCCGTTGCAAGATGGGGGGGTATTACTACTGCCGGTCAACAAGGGTTACATAGCTGGTCCAAAGTCTTCGGGTTTTGGCAGGCATCGCCACTATTAATTTTTTTGCCTGCAAGAAATTTTGCCCGATAATCGAAAGGCGATGCCTGCGGAGGAGGCTAAATAAGTACCAATTATGTTTCTATCAAGAAGATTTAGGGAAAAAGGCAATGTAAGTCCACTGCTGTTTATCTGAAGTTGAAAGCCACAAATTGACGTTTAACTATGATTATTGCATGGCCATTTTCTTTTGAAATAATAGCGCTAGGCATTTCACACTGACCAATGACCACCCCTAAAAGTACCATCTCTGAACCATATAAGCACCTCAGAATAGCCAAAGCTTTTATGGTTTGGTAGATAGCAGTATGGCGAAAGCGTCGTTTTTGGGTGTGGTCAGTTTCGGACGTTTCGCCCCGGAATGGGGTTCGGGCAGCGTTACCATGTTGACCGTCATGGTCAACATACCCTAAAACAGTTGAGATTATCTGTCCTAAATGAAATGCATACAAACTCATATACAAGTCCTAGACTAATATTACATTTTGTTTTCGAAACGATTTTACAATTAATCTAACGGAACCTAAGTTCAGTAAAAATAATTACATTGGTCAGTTATTAAACACAAAGACAAGCGGGGTCAAAATTTAATATTCATGAGTTGTGATATGTCAACAATGAAGCATTGTTTAATATGCAACATGACTTCTCGCTCGGTGTAGTCTGTTCTGGATTAAAAATAATATAATGAGCTAGGAAAATTGCTTAATACTTACGACATTCGATCTCCTCCTTTTTAAAATGTCTCTCGCACACATAAACGTTGCCAGATTCGATTTGTTTACGAAAATTCGCATCAACAACACAATACTTTGTAATTATCCTTATCCACTCGTCACGAATAGCTTTCGATCTCTCATCATTTCCCGACGGAATCCTAAAAATTCCGACTCCAGTATGTCGTCTATTAGTTCCACAACCAAAAATGGAGCAGTTTGCCCTCGGCATCTTCGTAAAACTATGCAAAATTTACATTTTGTAAGGTTGAACCGCACATTTACATAATGTCCGTTACTAAAATCAATAGCAGATGTGCACCATAACTGTGACGTAAGAGAAAACACGACATATTTTGACACGTGACCGGGCCTTCCAAACCTTCCCATTATATTGACTATGATCAAAGCTAGTCCTTTCTGAATGCAATGATCTTTATTTAATTCTTTATTTAGTTTTTATAACCATGTTTTTTTGGGACACTAGGTATTGTACCACAGTGAAAAAAAAACTCTCTGTTATTCTAAAAGATATGACGTCTATCAAACTTACGAAATTGATGCATGTTTCTCTCTAAAGTTGCAAAAATCTTCCTTCAACTTCACACGAGAACTTGACATTCGAATTCCGGGTGGCTATAGTTTAGAAAGGTTTTATCAAAACATGAACCTTATTTACTGGGGTTTTCAAAGCACAAACCCAAAGCGTTGAACCTTATACATGCCTTGCAGGGGTGGAAAAATAGTTTCTGGGACCGCAAAAGAACATTGAAAATTTTCTGTAAATAATCAAGTAAATCCACGTTTGGACACTGTAACTGTGTGACACTAACAAGTCAAACTGGATGTCATGCTGTATTTTACAGGAAATAATATTTCACTGAGAATCTTAAAATATAACATAAAACTAAGGTAGATATAACATGCATCAAGGGTTGGTGTTAAGGTAATTTACACATGCCAAAAAGCTAGGGTACTATATATAGGGGACACAATATGAGGAGGATCGATGCTACCTCCTGAAAATCAGGTGTGCTAGATTTGCTAAAATGCATTTGCCATACAACATTTGTTACATCATTCTATAGTCCATGCATTTATACACTATTGCACCATCAATATACAATTAAGGGCGCTTTCCATTTAATGGCCTGACCGGTCAGACCCGAATTTTTGTCCAGTCAGGCAGTGTTAATGGAAAACGCCCTAATGCACGTGTTTATTTTATAAATATATAATTGGCATAAATAATTTACTTCCGTAATAAGTTCTTTGTAAGTTTGCATGGCGATAAAACAGATAATAGTTTTGTGTGTGGAATTACCATGTCAATTTATTACTGCAAAGCTTTCGATCCGTAAGCCCAGATCTTCATCAGTGTTCATAATATGTGACTTGTCTAATGCACACGCCCTTTTTTATATACAAAAGTGTCGAGATCTGTTGCCTCGCGTCATTTGAAATTTAATTAAACGGTACATCAACCTCGTCATTCCAAACATAGTGAAGTGATTCTAATTAACGCGCGCATCCAAGACAAGAGAAATTAATTTTTCACATTAAAAAGAGCACGCCACGTACTATCTACTGGCTTTCCCTCCTGATCTATGATATTGTGCTTCTCGATTTCAATTAACTCTCTCATTTTGCGAGAGAACTTACACTGTATGATTATCAATCGCCAAAATGGTTGCTTCGTCCCATTGTATACGATGGTCGTAAGTCCAAATATATTTAGCCACAGCAGATTTATCTTGCTCGGCTTTCTCGCAATTCGTCTTGCGTTCCTTAAGACGTACTGAGAGATTTCGACCAGTTTCACCAATGTAAACCAAACCACATTCACAAGGAATGCGGTACACACCAGGTCTGTGAGATTCATTCACGTTGTCCTTTTGTGTGCAAAGAGCTCGAAACAATTTGTTTTCGTTAGAATAGTATACCTTTATACCTGCTTTACGCCTGCTAGGATTTTGAAGAATGAAGCAGGTATAAAGGTATACCATTCCAGTGAAACAAATTGTTTCGAGCTCTTTGCACACATAAGGACAACGTGAATGAATCACAGAAACCTGGTTTGTACCGCATTCCTTGTGAAAGTAGTCTGGTTGACATTCGTGAAACTGGTCCATCCAAATCTCTCAGTACGTCTTAAGGAACATAAAACAAATTGCGAGAATGCCAAGCAAGATAAATCTGCTGTGGCCCAACATACTTGGACTTACGACCATCGTATAAAAAGGAACGAAGCAACCATTTTGGCGATTGATAGTCATACAGTAACTTCTCTCGCAAAATGAGAGAGTCAATTGAAATCGAGAATCACAATACTATATAGATCAGGAGAGAAGGCCACTAGATAGAACGTGGCGTGCTCTCTTTAATGTGCAAAATCGATTTCTCTTGTCTTGGACACAGAGTAGAGACATACAGAGACATAACTAGTGCACCCACTTTTTTGTGCGCATGCTCTGCAAGTTACTAGATGCATGTATCTGATTGGATGACGACCTGATGACGACTCACTTTAAACTTGCCGAGCATGCGCAGCTGACCATTTTTCGCCCGTTCGCCTAAAAAAAAGTGGGTACATGATAACGTAATTTTCCGCAGTGTTTGCAACTGTCAGTTACGTCTCTGCATGTCTCTAATCTGCGTCTTGTATGCGCGCGTTAATTAGAATCACTTCACTACGTTTGAAATGACGAGTTTGATGTACCGCTTAATTAAATTTCAAATAACGCGAGCCAACAGATCTCGACACTTTTGTATATAAAAAGTGGCGTGTGAATTAAACAAGTCACATATTATTAGCACTGATGAAGATCCGGGCATACGGATCGAAAGTTTCGCAGGAATAAATTGATACGTGGTGTTTCCACAAACAAAAGTATTGTGTAATTTGCTTCCGCCTGATTTTCTGCCAGTTTCTTTTTGGAAAGGCGATTATAGTTACTGCTCACTATTGTGTCACAGTTACTGCTGAGGGAGCCAAACAGAGTGCTGAAAGGCTACTTTTAGTGCTGAAATTATACTAAAACTGTATATAGAAGCACGGAAAATATTCTCTATTTCTTAAATACAGTATATGTCAGTGCAAGTACCTGTCCTGGAATGATTGGCGATGAGGGTGATCTACAAATAATGGCACGGATTCCAGAATGTTGCGAATCTTGAGAACTGGTGACTGACAAGTCTGACCACTTGTACGAGCTCTGAGGTCTTTGGGTTTCAAGTGAAATGCCACCATGTAGAGCATGAAATAGATGGCATCTAAAACACGACGGGTGAAAGATACAATTAATATTAATTATTAATGGTTTATTATAAAAATCGTCGCGCTCGATGAAAGCGAATTGCAAAATTATTTACAAACTTTAGTTAAAAGTATTAAAAAGTACCTTGTGTTACTGGCATTATATTACAACAATAGTTTACTGATCTATAAATTAATATCGAAAGAACTTTTAAATTTACAAAATTTACAAAATTTATAAATTATGTGATTGAATACACATAGTAGGAAAAAAGCTTTTCTTAAAGCGCTCCGTCTTACAAGGAAACAGTGTTAATCTATTTCCGTACCTTAAATTACAATTGTGTCCATTGGCCCGAGAAGGTGGTATTAAATGGTTAAGGCGTGAATCAGGCTGTCTGATTTTGTCAAAAGTTTTTATGCACAAACCATCACGTTTTGCGCGTAATGTCGAACATTTAGCTTGGTCCAGAGCAGCGTCATAGCTTAATGTGGGGTAGATTATTCGCATTGTGCGCTTCTGGACCCGTTCAATTTTATCTGACAAGTTAATGGTCAATGATGAATGCCATACCGGACAGCAGTACTCAAGCAGGGATCTAATAAGTGCAAAATGTACTCGTAGTAAATGAAACGGTGAAACTCCACTGCGCTTGAGAACTCGTAAGATGTGTAGTCTTTTTTATGCTTTGGTTACTATCTCACTGATATGCAAATCCCACTTCAGATTATTCTGGATCGTTAAACCTAATACTTTGTGGGATTCTATTCTTTCAAGACTAATGGTTTCAACAACTAAGGTGGGTGGTGGCTGCTCAATATCTCGTCGAAAGGAGACAATCATCTCTTTACACTTTTGGGGGTTCAATTTCATATTATTGGTACTTGTCCAATTACCAATTGCGTCCAATTCGTTTTGTAGTATAGATACCTCCCTTGTTGGAACAATCTCAGATATCGTCACGTCGTCTACGTACTTCCAATTACTGGAACGCGGAGATACTATTTTCAAATCATTAATCATTATGACAAAAAGGATTGGACCCAATTTGATGCCCTGTGGGACCCCAGCACTAGTTGAAAGCCATCGGGACACGCACTGTCCCAGCTTAACACACTGGCGGCGATTTGAAAGGAAGCTACAAATCCAAGGGATTATTGAACGGCGCACTCCCAAATCGATCAATTTTGTTATAACAATATTGTGGTCTATTCTATCGAAAGCTTTGCTAAAGTCCAGAAAGCAAGCTCTAAGGTAATGACCTGGGTTGTCCATTTTAGAAAGCCAGTTATGGATAAGATCTAGAAGGCAAAGGGTGGTAGATGTTCCCTTCAGGCTGCCATACTGACGATTATCGATTTGTCCACCAATGTCCTCAACCATACAACTAACCACAAAGTCTTCGAGTACTTTCGATAACACAGGGGTAAGTGCGATGGGGCGGGTATCGCTCTCAACCTGGGTTTGTTTCGCTTTAGGAATGGGTATGATGGTAGAATCTTTCCATAAAACAGGTACTAGTCCAGAGGACAAAGATGTATTAAATATTGATGTAACTGGCTCAGCAAGTTTGTAGGCGAACTCTTTTAAAATTCATGATGGAATACTATCCGGGCCCATAGCCTTATTAGTCTGAAGTTTTAAGAGCTTACTACAAACCTCATGAGGATGAATTGTAGGAGGCGGCACCGCAGCTGGTAAGAATGTTGGAAAGCTTGGTGGTGGGATATCACTTGCTACACTTACGAAATAATCATTTAGAGACTCTGCCAGTTCACCTTCCGATAATAACTGTCCGTCACGCTCAATTGTAAACTGAGGTTGACTTTTCGTTCTACCTGACATTGTGTTAATAGTGTGCCACCATTGACGGACATCGTCTTTTCGCAAGTTATGGATTTTTTGGGTATAGAAATTATTTTTCCTAGTTTTAATCTCTATCTGGACCTTCCGTCTGTAATGGCGCCACAATTGCGCGTCGCCAGTGTAGAAAGCACGTTGGCGTTCTTTAATAAGTTGCTTTATGTGCCCAGTAATCCATGGTTTGTCCGTGGGATGAAATTTGATTGTGTTCACTGGAAAAAAATGATCGAATGCAGTGTTCAGATCATTGGTAAAAGATGACGCTAACTCATCCGACGATGGATTGAATCCGGGTCCACTAAACCATTTATTCCTGGTTGACCATAAACCAAAACCATTCAAACCTGACTGAGGATACCGACGCACAGTGCGCTTTGTACATGTATTATTATTATCCTTAAAAATGTCTTTTGGGATCCACATGATTACGTTATGGTCCGACGTTCCAAGTGGAGCAGAAATATCCGGTGTTTTGTAAAAGGATTTCAAGTTCGTAATAATATAGTCTAAGATTGAATCTTGTCTAGTCGGACGCGTGACGACTTGCTTAAGGTTGTGACTTGTAACTAAATCCTGTGCTTAATGGGCTTAAAAGTCAAGAGTCAAAATTGGTATGTACAGGAGGTTGAAGAGATACCTCCCTAATATGGACACTTCTCTAATATGGACATTTCTCTAATGTGTACAACTATCAAATATGGACATAGACCTCTCTGTGTTTTAACTCCAAAAAAGCAAGCAACGCAGTTAGTAATTGCCAAAATCGGAACAGGCAATTTCAATAGAAAATCAGTCTCAAACTTCAAATCGTGAGCGATTAGCATAAATGTGTGCTTCGCTGTCGCCGTTGTTATAAATAAATTGTCTCACTTATCAGATCGTGTGTGCAATTCTTGTTCGCGGCGGAAAGTAGGAAATTTATTTCAGTTATTTCATTTGGTAAAGAACTCTACAAAAGAAGAGAGCGTTCAGAGTCCAGATCGATTCGTTTCAAACGGCAATTACCGTCTTCTGTTTCGCTAGACTCTCAGCGAAGCCTTGCAAATCGCAAAGTGTTTCGAATAGGCTTACGTGCAACGTACTGCCTCTAAATCTTCACCGTGAAAAGCGCTGTTTTCTTAAGTGCAAGAACAGAGTCAACATCAACCAAAAGATAATTTTCTTGATGAACATATAACGTGTTAAGTCTGTTTGAAACTCAAGTAAAGGTTACATTGTTTACCCCAGTCGTAATGTTGCCGTTCCAACACTTCACGACAAGTAATTCCCATTGGTATAACGGCAAAAACGTGGCTTCAAGTAAACATAAAACAGTCTGTTCTTGTTCCATTTTTAATCGAAAAAAGTGATCAATTTTCGAATTTTAAGCAATATGGAAAGTCTTTGTGATGAATCACTGATCTAATTACAGAATCCAACAGCAAACAGCCAATCAGAATGTCGCGTTCGTGGGCGAACGCGGAAAGTACAAAATACCGGGCCTTTCTTCCATGCCCACTATTCTTCCCTTGGGCCTGCACCCGGGCTATTTTGACACACACATTTGTTAGTTTACTAGATAATTTAATTAATTGGTGTCAATTGGGACGCAAGTCCTAGTCTTTTCTCCAGTTCCTTTCTCCATTATTTGTAAGAATGTATAACGTCTCAGTGCCAGTATTGCTTGCTTGTGTAAGCATGTAAATTTTGACGAAATCGTTAAATTAAATGAATACGTACATCTCTCTAATATGTACATCTCTCTAAAATGGACAGTTGCCCTTGTTAGGGCTTTCCCTTAAAGGGCACAATAATGTCTTTGACTTACATGCTTTATCGCCGTTTCAAACAGTAAAATGCAATGAGCGTGCGCATATTGAATTGAATTGAATTGAATTTTATTTGCCCATATGAAAAAGTTAATATTTACAATCTAAAGTATACAATAAAATATGACGGGCTAGGAGCCTTCATGAAACCCTTTCAGGCTTTTTGTTGAAAGGTCCCTAGTTCTATAATATCTTTACAATTGTTTTATATGGTAAGTTAATCATATAATGTCGAAAGAATATAGGAATATTTACAAATACAAGTATAAAGTAAGGAAAATTTTAAAGTAAAAGTAATATAATGAGCTAATTGAACAAAGTTTACAGATAATAACAATTAAAGTATATTTTACAAGAAAAATAATTTTGACTTTTTCTTAAAAGTACGATAAAATATAATGCTGCTAATTTCATTATCGAGTGAATTCCATATCTTAACTCCCTTGTTAACAATAGAATGTTTTGCATAATTTGTTCTACTAAAATTTGCATGAAATTTGTTAGCATTTCGAGTATTGTAATAATGCTGTTCCGCCCGCACGATATGACTCTGTTTATATACGTTTAGTTTTATTAATCTTAGTTATAATACTCTTGAGCGACAAGCCCTAAGGGGTCGAACTCGAGCTGTATTGTATTTGTCAACACTTGTCAACGCCGCATATTATATTATTAGCTTAGTTAAATGTTGTGAAATACGAGTAGGTTTTGAAAGAAAGACTCGAGACTTATAGTCAAGCATGCTGTCTGGTTTTTGGTGAAATAAATTTATGTATAAAATAAAACCCACGTCTCGCATTTGAATTTACAACGTTCGACGCATCGATCGAGATATAACATTGGTCCTTATTCGAGCCGGATTTGACTCAGTGAAGTATATACATCTCCTGAAATGAAGTGAAAATGTCAACTCACGAAGATACGCAATGTCTGCCCTGTGTGAGCGAAAACACGGACGATAATAACGCGCACACAGAAGACATACAACCCGTCAGCGAAACGACGGATACCACCATCAACCGGAGCGCACAGATACAAGGCCTTAAAGGAGAAAGAGCGCAAGAGAAATCCAGCGTTACGCGTTCTATAACAAAGCTAAACAAACTAATAAAAAACCGGGGGAGTCGAACGCTAATCAGAGCTTTGGTCACGAAAATAGAAAACCAAGTCCAGAGCGCGGATTCCTGTAACCGCAAGCTTTACGAACTTCTACCCGAACAGGAACACGAATCTATCGAGAAATGGTTCGTGGAAATGGCCGAAAAGGCAGACGAAACTGTGGCAAAAGCATACGAACACCTTGACGAACGCGAAGATGAACCCCCCTCCGTCTCGGGATTAGGCACGCACGCAAAATCGACCACGTCTTCTACCTCGAAACTTTCAGCACGAGCAGCCGAAGCCCGTCGAAAAGCGAAGCTTGCACAACTGAAAACCAAACAAATAGAAGATGAATCGATTCGGCGAAAGGAACTTGAGCGCATCGAAAGAGAACGACTTGCTAAGTTCGAACAAGCCAAACTCGAGCACGATCGTCTTGCCAGAGAAGAAACCGAGAGGCGTCGCATACAAGAAGCGAGAGATCATGCGGCACAAGCCGAACTTGAGGCTAGATTGATCGAGGCTGAGGCTGAAACAGACGGTTCTGGTTGTTCAGACGATTTGAAGAAAAGACTTTGCGATTTTAGCGAGGATTATCGAACTCCTGCTGAGACCGGAAATAAGATACGGGAACTCGGAAATAAGCTGCCGGAAGTCGGAAATACCCCCAATCCAAAGGTGATAAACGATAATAAAAACACTAACGAATTAAGCGAACTTTTTCGAGAAGATCCAGAGGAAAAGGCAAAATCTACCGCTTCATGGATTGCCAATCTACCATCGACGACGAACGAGAATCGACGTACCGAACCAATGACCGCACCTATATCATACCACAAATCTATACCAAAACTTACGCTTACGAAGTTCGACGGTGATCCTCTAAAGTGGACAGATTGGCTCGGTATGTTCGAAGCAATCATTCACCGGTCGGAGATGTCACCCTTCGAGAAAATGACCCACCTTCAACAGAACGTTGTCGGAAAGGCGAAATCCGTAATCGCCGGCTTTCGCTACAACGGGAACCTTTATCACCGAGCGTTGAAGTGTTTGGAAAACCGCTTTGGAAAACCTCATATCGTAGTCCAAGCCCATCTTGATAAGCTTTCGAAAGTGGCACCAGTTGCGGAGGACGACGCTCGTAGTGTTTCAGCATTCTCCACCGTAATTAACAATATTGTTTGGACATTCCAGGACCTGGGCTACCTAGATGACTTGAAAGCTGCGAGCAACGTCAAGTCTGCCATTGAGAAACTACCATCGCCCATGATTTTGAAATGGAACGAACATTTAATACGAAATAAGATCATACGCCCCACGCTGATTACCCTCGGAGATTGGTTGCAGGAACAATCTGAAGCCTACGAACTATTGCCCACGAAGCCAAAACCAAAGTTTGCTGGAAAAGCCGGAGTGGATAGACAACGACGAAGACGAGACGACCCCCCTGCCAACTCGTACGCCACCCACGAAGGTGAACGGCCAACAACGCCTTGCTTGTTTGAAGACGGCAATCACCCAGTTTCTTTATGCCCGAAGTTCGCAGCACTTACCCCCGACGAACGAGCCGAAGCTGTCAAAGAGAAGAACCTTTGCTTTCGTTGCCTGAAAGGTGGTCATCGTATACGCGATTGTCGATCGCAGAAATCTTGTGGTGTCGACGGCTGTCAAAAGAAACATCACGAACTAGTCCACCTAGCAAAACAAGTCTTCGGAAAGGGAGACGCCAACCAACATGTTAAATCTTCGCATTCCCAGCGCCAATCGCAAGTTCTCCTTCAAGTTGTCCCTGTAACGCTTCACGGGCCGGCCAAGACCGTGAGAACTTATGCAATGTTAGATTTAGGGAGCACTTGTTCTCTAATACAAAACGATATTGCTAATGAACTTGGTTTGGATGGTCCCACAGAGAAAATGATGTTAAACGGCATTCAACATCGCAGTTCCATCTTTTCCAAGAAAGTCAACTTTGACATCAGCTCCTCGCAGAATCCCAATCAAAGATGGACGGTTGACCAAGCGAGAACCGTCGAGAGACTGAACTTACCGAAGGTGAAAGTTGATATGCCTAAAGAAAAGACAAGATGGCCACATCTTGTTGATCTTCCCCTGCCACCCATCGATGGGAATCGTGTTACAGTTCTCCTTGGAGCTGACGTGTTCGACCTCATCGTCCCTCTGGAGGTACGCACCGGTCCCAAAGGCGCTCCTGGAGCAGTACGGACGGCCCTCGGTTGGACAGCGACATCGCACTTACCTGACCACAGACTAGAAGGGTCAGACCATACAATGAAGGTTCACGTGACAACGCCTGACGAGGACCTTCGACTCCAAGTTCAAAAATGGTGGAAAACGGAGTCGTTTGGCTGCAAATACGCCGAGGAATTGCCCAGAACAATCGAGGACAAACGAGCCTTGGAAATCCTTGAGTCAACAACGAAGAAGGTTGATGGCCGTTATCAATCGGGTCTACTGTGGAAGGAAGTGAACGCAACGTTGCCCAACAACCGTGTGGTAGCCGAGAAACAGCTGCTCGCCCTGGAAAAAAGACTGGACAAAGATAAACACCTCGCTCTCGCTTATCAAGGAACAATTGATAATGACTTAGAGAAAGGTTATGCAAAGAAACTCACACCGGAAGAAGCAGCTGCCCCTGTCAAACAGCAGTGGTTCCTTCCTCACCACCCAGTCCTCAACCCAAACAAACCAGGCAAAGTACGAAGAGTCTTCAACGCCGCTTCCCCCTTCAGAGGTGTATCTCTGAACGACCATCTGCTGACCGGACCTGATCTGTTAAATTCCCTCGTCGGCGTGCTGATGCGTTTCCGCGAGGAACGAGTTGCTTTGTCTGCATATATAGAATCGATGTTCTCCCAAGTTGCCGTCCCCGAAGAAGATCAAACCGTTCTCCGTTTCCTGTGGAGAAAAGACCGTAGTTTGCAGCCGGATGTCTATCAGTTTCGTCGTCACATATTCGGAGCGAAGTCATCGCCGACTTCTGCGAACTATGTATTGCGCCAAACAGCAAAGGATAGCTCTGACGAATTTCCTGCAGCTGCAGAAACGGTCCAGAGAAACTTCTACATGGACGATCTCTTCAAGTCCGAAGAGGACGAGAACACAGCAGTACAGACCCACGAGAACCTTAACGAGTTGCTTTAATCTTTAATCTTTAATAAAATTTCTTTTAACACGGTAGCCTATTCAGTATAATATATACAGTCTGTTTTTCAAAGGGCCGTGCTATATAGTATTAAACACACATTAACTATGGATATTTACAGTTAATTACAGCACACAATTATTACACACTCCATTAATTTCGGAAATGCATTATACATTATTCATGTGCAAGCTAAAGGGCTAAACGCCTTTTGAAATTGGGTAAAGATAAATCCTGAATGTTATTAGTTACTTCATCCGATAATTCGTTCCACCCTTGTGCTGCTCTATAAGAGAAACTTCTTTTAAGAAAGTTGGTTCTTGGTTTAGGCAAAGATAGTTTAACATTATTGCTTCTTAGAGAATAATTACTATTTTCGCATCTCGTGAAGAAATTCTGCACATAATCAGGTAGTCTGTTAAAGCTTTAAACGTCATAATGATTTCTCTTTTCTTTAAAATGTCTTCAATTGGCATCCAATTGAGACTTTCTAGTATTTGAGTGGAACGAACATCGTATGATTGTCCTGTGATAACTCGAGCTGCTCTTCTTTGTAACTTAGAGAGTTTGTTAAGAATGGTATTAGATCCATCATTCCATATTGTTGAGCAATATGTCAGGTGAGGAGATACTAGAGCATTATACATTTTGATTAGAATGTGTAAAGGAACAAAGGACTTGGCTCTTCTTAGCAATGCAATATTTTTTGAGATTTTTTTACATTGTGCGTCAATGTGTACACCCCACTTTAATTGATCGTCTATGATAAAACCAAGAGATTTTTTATTGGTGACCCGTTTAATATTATTATCTCGTATGGCTAATGAAATCTCTGGGTTGTCTTCAAATTTAGTAAGATGATGTCTAGAGCCAATTATCATAAATTCCGTTTTGCTATCGTTTAGCGTGAGCTTGTTACATCTAAGCCAACTATGAACATTCTCAAGATCTCTTTTAAGTTTAGTCTCGATTTCATTGGCATCTAAGCCGGCACACGAAAGATTTGTGTCATCAGCAAACAAGTTAGCCTTGGTTGTTTCTAGGCACTTAGGTAGATCGTTAATATACAAGAGGAATAGGATGGGGCCAAGGTTAGAACCTTGTGGTACCCCACACCTAATTTCTCTAGCATGTGATTTTTTCCCTTTCATTAAACAAATCGATTTCCTATTTTGGATGTAAGATTCAAACCATGCGTAAGTAGTTCCTTTTATGCCGTATAGGTGAAGTTTCTTTAATAAGATTTCATGGTCGACAGTGTCAAAAGCTTTTTTCAAGTCCAAGAACAGGACTCCATTGATTAAGCCACTGTCCATGTTATATAGATATTCCCCCTAGCTCCATAGATATTCCCAATACTAAATTTAATGTTGGAAATGTGAATTTGGACGATATTCGAACGTATAAAAACAACAACACTCTTGTCTATGATGGGAAACGTTTAAAGTGGAACGGCAACTATGATAAACTGGAGAGTTTTATTCAAAATACCGTTGGTTTGATCGGTAAATGGATTTCACCTGGCGGGAACTCTAAGAAGTTTATAAACAACTCAGATCTGACAATAACCTGGTATCGCGGCAAACAACGAACATTAGTTGTCCAAGGTAGCGAAGGGGAGTCTTTAAAGGAATTACTGGTAAGACTAAATAGTGAACTTATGTTGCCCCATCAGAGTGACACAGGCGTACAGTCTGCTGAAGTCTCAGTAATAACTTGCACCGGTGATATAAGCGAAGTAAGCAACCTAACAACCGAGAATAATGATTATGGAGCCGAGATTCCTGTCGCCAAAATAGATATAATATCACCTATTGATAATTCGTCGCTTGCGGAGCTTGAGAATTTTATTGACGATTCATTTTGTAATATTATGAACTCCCGACACAGTGAAGTAACGAAGGGTACTGTGGAACAAGTATTTGTAAATTCTACCCCCTTTAAACAATGCAAGAGCGACAGCGCCACTATAAAAAATGCATTATTTGACAATTTTAAAGAGAAGGTTGAATGTGAAATATCAAATTTATTGGCTAAACTCACCAAGCAAGACGAAACTATCAACATAAATAAGCAAGATATATGCAAATTGCGTGAAGAAAATTTGCATCTCAAATCACGTATCTCCAAATTAGAAGGAAAGATGGCCTCGGCCTTCATAGAAAAATTCCCTGGTGCTATTGAAATATCTTGTGTCACACCTACAACGCAGTACGTCCCCATAAGCACTAAGAAAAAGGCCAACGAAGACCGACTACCGGAAAGTAATGTGCCTAATATGCAGTCCAATCCAGAATTTAGTGTACCTACTTATGAAAATTTGACCTTGCAATCGCGAACCCAGCAGTCAAATAAGAATTGTTACGACCGCCCCCCAAAGAATTCCACTCCTTGTCCATTTCTTCTGCGTCGAGGTTGGTGTCGAAAGGGAAACCGATGCGACTTTCAGCATCTTAAACCATCTCGCAATACACATAAACATAATGTCCCCTGTCCGTTTTTGCAGAACAGAGGCTTCTGTCTGAAAGACGATCGATGTGATTTCTCCCACGCTTGGGTACCAACCAGAAGGTCGGTATTAAAAACCACTACTAGTAGCCATTTGCCACCTGCCTCTTTTTTATCCCGAGCGCAAGTGCCATTGCCACCAAACGTCCACACAGCCCAACCTCAGCAGCTCCAAACGTACAGCCTACACCCATGGCGACCCCCATCTTATCCAAGGCCGTTAATGGAAATCCCACTACCCGCGTCCAGTTTTCCCCGATTATCCTCCCAGATCCACCAAAACAGATTTTACTAAATCCTTCTAAACAGAGCTCCACTCCATGTTTACCTGACAATTGTTCGTGCGACAATGAGACAGTAAGCACAATTCCTGTTATAATCTCGAAACGAATTAATAAGAAATATAATGTGCGATATCGACATGACTCCATCCGGCCAAATAATTTAATTAAAATTCCTATTAAACACTTGCCGGTTTCCCAACATACGTTCGTTCCCTCCCTAATGCGATCTAATGTTATGTCATTGGTGCCCAAAATAGATGAATTACGCGAAGTTATCCTCAATTTAATAGTGATGTAGAAATAGCTTGTATTACCGAAACGTTGCTCAGAGATCATATCGATGATAACGTTGTTAATGTGTCAGGATTTAGGTTGGTTCGCCTTGACAGAATTAACAGTCAACACGGGGGAGTCTGTATGTACGTCAGGAATAATATTCAATACAACATTGTACAAGACCTTTTAGACAGCAATTTTGAAATCGTCTGGGTTCATATTCGCCCCACTCGTCTTCCAAGGGGAATTCCATGCGTAATTATTGGAACGTTATACCATCCTCCAAGTGCTAACAATCAAGAGATATTAGATCATTTATTAAAATGTCTATCAACAATCGAATCTCGTTTTCCCAATAGTGGTGTCATCCTGCTTGGAGACTTTAACAACTTAAACGTCTCTAGAATCAAACGTAACTTTAGGCTTAAGCAAATTGTGAACTTTCCCACACGTGGCCGGAACACCTTGGACCTCATCCTAACTAATTTGAAAGACTATTATGCTTCCCCCATTAAACTCTCTCCCCTCGGTCTTTCTGATCACGTAACGGTTAAAGTTTTACCGCTCTCCCGAACAACAACATCCAAGTCCAAGCTCCAAAACAAGCATCAAAACAAGGGACATTAGACCAACGAAACGTTTAGCAATAAGAACATATTTGGAAGCTGTTGACATTCAAACCTTGATAGATAATAAGATCTCTTGTGAGGAAAAAACTACGATGTTGGAAAAAATCGTTAGCACAGGTATGAATTCCCTTCTTCCAATGAAGAGGAAAACGATCATAGCTAACGAGCCCCCATGGCTCAATGAAAACCTTAAAAAGTTGATACGTGCGCGCCAGGAAGCCTTGTCCTTGGGTGACATGGTTACCTTCCGATTACTTAGGAATCAAGTTAATCGGGAGAGGAAGTCAAGCCGTGCAAAATATTACGATTCAAGAGTTAAACAATTGAAAGAATGTGATCCTTCCGGTTAGTGGAAGGAAATTAAGAAACTTAGTGGGATGTCTGCAGTGTCAAGTGACAGTACAACTTCAATTCTACAACATGTTGTTTGTGACCCAGTCCAACCGACTCCACTTAATATTGCCAATGTTATTAACAACGCATTCCTTGCCTCAATGAGTGATTTTTCTCCATTATCTCCCAACGTCCGTCTTGCCACCGATAAAGAACCCCCATTTACCGTCACAGAACAATCAGTTTTTCAGAAACTGTTAGCACTAAATCCAACCAAAGCAACTGGGCCAGATGGTATTCCCTGCTGGCTTTTGAAAGAGAACTTAACGCCGATATTTTTGCACGACCAGTAATGTCGATTATTAACTGTTCATTCTTGGAGTCTCGCTTACCTCCTTCATGGAAGGAAGCCGATATAGTACCAATACCTAAGCAAAAACCTGTCAATGACGTAAATAAAGATCTAAGACCAATCTCTCTGACTCCAGTACTCTCTAAGGTCGCTGAGGAATACGTAGTTGAATGTTTTGTAAAACCAGCTGTATTGAAAAAAGTTGACCCACAACAGTTCGGTACATTACCTGGCTTGAATACCACCTATGCTCTTATTAGCATGCTACATAAATGGAACTGTGACACCGATGGTAATAGTGCAACAGTGAGGATCGTATTGTTCGACTTCAAGAAGGCCTTCGATCTGATCGATCATGATATTTTAATTCAGAAACTAGTGTCGTACGAAATTCCAAATAATGTTGTCAATTGGATAATAGATTTCTTGTTGAACCGCAAACAAAGAGTTAAACTCTGCCAAGATTGTGTTTCGGAGTGGGGCTCGGTCCCCGCGGGTGTACCGCAAGGAACAAAATTGGGCCCATGGCTGTTTTTGGTCATGATTAACGATTTAAATGTCTCTAATGATGTGATGTGGAAATATGTGGACGACTCAAACATCTCCGAAACTGTTAAAAAAGACGAAGTAAGTCATATCCAATCAACCGTAGATGAGTTCGTACGCAAGTCCAAAACCGAAAAGTTCGTGCTGAATGAGCGCAAATGTAAAGAAATGAGAATTAGTTTTACGAAATCGGAAAAAGTCTTTCCACCCGTTATGATAAATAACGCCCCCCTTGAAATTGTCCCACATGCCAAAATTCTGGGCCTGAATGTATCCGACAACTTAAAATGGAATTATCATGTTAGCGAACTCGTTAAAAAATCTTCAAAAAGATTGTACTTCCTAACTCAGTTAAAGCGCGCCAAAGTGGGTTGTTTGGAATTGGTACAATTTTTTAAATCTTGCATCAGATCTTTAATTGAATATGCTTGCCCAGTGTATCACGATGGTCTCGCAACGTATCTTTCGAGTGATCTCGAAACTATTCAAAGACGAGCAATGCGAATCATGTACCCCACAGAATCTTACGAAGATGCCTTATTATTATCAGGTCTAACTTCCCTATTCCTACGGCGCCAACAGATTACTAACAAAGTCTTCCTAAATATTATGAACGATGATGCACACAAATTATACGAACTACTGCCTGCTAAAAACAATACCTCGCTTAATTTACGGAAAAAGTCGAAATTCAATAACCCAAGAGTAAAAACGAACCGTTATAGAAATAGTTTTATCATCAGTAATTCAATTAAGGCATAATTAACAATAGTATTAGGCAATCTAAGTATAAACACGATCAATTCAAGAACTGTTTTAAACAATGAACCATTTCAGAAATAGTTTTTACCGTAACCTAATTTAGGCATAATTAGCATCTAGGTCTTGTATTTTCTAACTTGTACATATATAATGCATAGTGGAATTCTCCAACATGTTTTAAGATCCTCTCTTTTATCAATTCTTGTAAATTTTACTTAATTCAGCTTATGGCTGCAATGTAAATTTCAATAAACTATCTATCTATCTATCTTAATCACAAACAGCAGTGCAAAAATCTGTAACAATGGTGAAAACATTTGTAACAAACTAATCGGATTGGTGGAAAAACATTGTGATGATAAAATCAACCAATCATGATCAGTTTAAAGCAGTTTAGTTTAAAGAAGTAACGGTCACAGATTGCTTCAAAACAAAACAAACATGGGGCCGCGGCAAATTATTTTTCCGTAGACAGTCGGACTTCTCATTGATAGTCAGACGCATCATTGATCCGCGCCCTTAAACAAAACATCAGCGAATACTCTTCTTATTATATGCGCTTCCCAGTGTGTCTTGCGCACGCAGTTGGTGATTTCAAAATATTGTATTGCTTGGTTGAGATGCTATCTTGTGTGGTAATGACATCTGACATATTTTATTAAGTTAAATTCGCCAT